GTAGTACTCTATATATATATATTATATATATATATATATATATATATATATCACTATTAATATAATATATTTGTTAATACTACTACTATATATATGTGTGTGTGTATGTGTGTGTGTGTGTGTGTGTGTGTGTGTGTGTGTGTGTGTGTGTTTGTGTTTTGTTAATATGTTAAATTCATATGCGCATCTATACGTATGTATATAGCCATATATATGTGTTCGTATCCGAGGACGTGCATTCGTATCCATATCGATTTCTGTTCAAGGAGTATGATTTTTGTCGAGACATCCGCACATTCATGAGGTGAACTTGTCTAGGTGTGCATATCACTTGCTAAGTCTGAAATTGTCTACTGGTTCACCGGTATCACACACTTAAGCTTTCCTTGTGCAACTAGCATTTATGTCTCTTGAATCTGCCTTCGTGATGTGTGAAGATATCAGACTTCGGTGTCAATCGCATGGCCAATGGCGCCCGTCAATGTATATCAAATGCATATCATTACATTGTGTCAAACTCTTATACGACTGTTCAATATGCATACTCATACCTGAGTCACTGCATGCGTTTTGTGTGCATCCTGAGGTTCGATATCCACTACTGTCGAACCCGAAGTCTATTCGTTGTGGCTATAACCGACCGTTGTGCACATCCTATCGATACATGGCTCTGGCGCCTATGCCGTTGCGCTGTTCTATCTTTAACTCGATCGCACCATGACCCCGTGACTCGTCGCCACGAAAGCGTACAGCACTGTAATACGTTTGAGACGAGTTTAACAATCAGGTTGCACTTCCGGAAGCAACTTGGCATTAGTTGTGTTGGCGAATCCGTTCTTGAATCTCAATTGTGCGCGGAGGTATAGACTTACGCAGCCAACGTTCGCTCCACTATGGCTGTACTGAGTACGTGCACAATTCTATATCTCAATCCGATACAGACTCCGACCAGGATAGCAGACACTGAAAGCCCTAAACCCGAAAATCCCACTCCGGCCGCAAATAAATCTAATACAGCCCAAAAAAGCCAAATCAAGACATCCACACAAGCGCCTTCATACGTGAAGATGGCCAAGAAGAACACAAGCAATCCATTTGCATTTGCCGCAGCTGGTAAGGCTGGAAAAGCCAAGGCCAAAAAGTCCGCCAAAAATACGGGCAAGCTCACAAGTTTTTTCGGTATATACCTATCTGCTCACACGAGGAGTTGCTTGTGGTGTGTAGATATTGGTTGAATGATTATATCAACCTCTGCCCTTTTGCGACTCGTGTGAATATTGTATGTATTGTATATACTTGCCAATATATGAGCTCTATGGTTCCCAGTTGGTAGGTGAGGGGCGTCTGTTAAAGTGCAAGTGTATGAGCGCAAAACGATACCGTCCACCACATTACTTACAGTTAGTTCATTGGCCTGCTCGTCTATAATATTGCCTACATGCGATGGTGTGTTGTCGTTTTCTCGGATACATTTGTTCACGCGTAGGCATAAGTCACCGTCAGCTACACTCTCAAACAGTTTAGTACTACGCACCAAGACCGATTGAATAGCATCTCCCGAGAATGCTGGTCATGGTATTTTTAAAAATCGAGCTTGATTTCATGCAGTAATGGCAGCACAACTTTATAATTCTAAACACCTAAAACCTCAAAACCCATATAAATCTATATAGCGGCCAAAGATAGCGGCAAGGCTGCTGCGAACGAAACCAGTGAGAAGGAGACTGCAAAAACGAAGTCGGAGAGTGTCGAGAATGCGCCTGTTACATCACCTACAACGAAGAGCAGTATCGTTGTTAAAACAACCGAGACAGACACTCCTAAATCAGCTGATAGCCACACAACCAAAACTACTGCTAGTGTGAGTGTGGAGAATGGTGTTAGCGTGCAAGAAAAGATGAAAGAGTCTATTGCCACAACAAAAGGTACGCTTAAGAATGTTTCAGTAGATGAAAGTGATCTCAAGGCAGTCACACCGGTGAAAGGGGAAGACTACGACCCCACGGCTGTCAAGTATCATCCCATTAAGAGCGCGTGCTGGGCGAAGGGGAAAGAGTATGTATATTTCCGTTCAATGCGTATTGTATACGTGCGAGGGGCATTTATATATATATATATATGTATGTATGTACGTATTCGTGTCCACGCATTTGTATCTGTGAGTGCGTGTGTGTATGGTTTATCCCATCAATGGAATTGGTCCGTGTAGTTTCTTCGTTTTCCGTATGTCAGTGGGTGGCTACGTTCAAGTGTGCGTAGTGCATATTCATAGAGTACGCATGTATTGGTATACATGAGTCTGTGTGTAGGTACAGGTGTGTATGGTGCACGTTAAGGTAATGCGCCATGTTTTAGTATATGCCACTGCATGTTTTGTGTATGATACTCGCCCTGTCCATAGAACTTCATTTATTTTCCTTGTTTCTCACTTCAATAGCGTGCCGTTTCTGGCTGTCTGCAAAGTGTTCGATGCAATTGAGAACGACTCCGGTCGCCACGCCAAGCAGAACATATTGTCTAATCTGTACAGATCCATCATAGTACTGTCGCCCGAACAACTGGCCGACACTGTTCACCTTACCATGAACCGGGTATGTGTGCGTAGGTGTCAGTGAATACACCCTTAGTTGACCACAGATACATGTATATGTGTAAGTACTTACATTCTTAACATCCATATTTGTACCTGGTGTATTCGTAAGTTTCGGTACCCAAACAGTCCAAGATACAGTTTCTTCCTCTATGAATTGTATCGATCTACGTGTGCACTATAACGCTCCTTTCAGAACTGCGCCAACGTACGATACATCTTCTGTGTGTCAGTGTTGGTATGTCTGATTTCGCCTATTGCTGCGCTCTTGTGTGCGCATGTACACATGTGCGTTTATGCACGTGCTAAGTGTTTGTGTGCTTCTATTTTCTGCACGCTTGGGTATTGATGTTTCATATTTTTCACACAATATGTACGCCGATAGTATTCATAACCGATCAGCTTTGTTGATTATGTTACAGTCTCGTAAATCAGCCCTACCGACCATATATTATGTATACCTGCATAGTTTTGCGTAGTTATCCATCTTTGATGTTTACCTACACATACATTTACAAATCTACCCATATATATATATGTGTGTGTGTGTGTGTGTGTGTGTGTGTGTGTGTGTGTGTA